GCGAAAAAAATTAGTGAAGCGGACTTAGAACAAACAAGAAGAGCAGTGGCCTATTTGCAAGAAGAAGTTCGGCAACAATGACAAATTTGAGTCTTCTAATTTCTTCAGTCCTGTTCCACCGAGCCAAAATGATTATCAGTGTTTTGGTATCATGGATTATTGTAGACTGCAATTTGGCTGTCAGAGTTTTATCATCCTTTTAGTTGTGCGCTATAGATCAATTCAGTCAAAACGACCGATTCTTGGCTCGCTTTTGTAGACACTGAGTTTAGCTCAGGTGAAATGAAAAAGTTTAAGCGTTGCCTTTGGCTACTTAACAAAGTTTATGGTTTTATAAAGTAGCTCTGTGTTGTGTTGTATCGCATACAAAAAATGAACTTCGCTTGTTTAAATTTGAGGACTTTTGTGATGGTCAAAATACGGTACTTTAAAAAATGGCGTCCGAAGACGTGAAATAAAGTGATGCTTGTATCTCTAATACAAGAGCAGTGACGGACCTATGTTTATTATATTTAACATCACTCCACCTAACCTATCTATGATATTAGTATATTAGACCTACAGTATGCGATCGAGTCATCGCGATCAATAACAAAGTCATCTGTGACTATCTATCGGGAGACAAACGATAAGCCATTTCTTTATACTTCATTATAGTTTATTTTTTTCTATTCTATCTTTAATCTACTTTATTCAAACAAATGACAAACGATGAAACTATACCCTTAAAGAAATCAGAAGTTAGCGAAAAGTGGCCTGTTCAACTTTCCAGGTGTCGTGAAGGGCGCTTGTGAAGAGTAGGTAAATGACGCAGCATCGATATCTGGAACACAAAATGGCCATCAATCTCTATTTATTCCGCATGCTTCAATCATATAAAACATGAAGCATAATTATCCAACTTCAAATTTCTTTAACAGATCTCTCGTGACAACATTTCTAAAACATTTACAAGGTTAATTTCTTGCCTAGGCAAAATATAGCGTTTGCACAAGATAAGCTTAATTTTCGGTTTCTTTTACTGCACAAATATATACCCAAAGGCCTTTATGTTTTTGTTGGAAGCGTGGTTTCCACAGGTGTTGGAGTCGTCGTTTTCTCCGCCAGTACCAAACCCGACCCTAGAGTTACATGAGGTGCAGTCCTCTTCATTGTTACCAAGAATACCGATTCTTGCTTTGGAGCGGTTTGCCCAGGTGCACTCGGCGTTGAACCCTTCTCTGTTACAGTGGTCATCGAAGGAGGCGCCAGAGACAATCAGTGAAAACCACGTGTCACGACCCAGTGAAATAGAAAGGTATTGTCCGTCAGCGATCAGTGAATGCAAGGAACTGGCGCTCTCGTTGAATTCAATAAAATTGATCTGGTTGTTAATCTTCATACCGAGGCAAATCTTAGAAAAGGACGTGTTCCAGTAGGAGGGAAGTTTTGTCTCTCGGGTGTCAAAGCCAGTCTTTCCGCCGTCAACGTCAAAGGTGTCTTTGTTCTCCCAAAGTGTAGAATTGTAGTGAAAAGTTTGCTGTTGGAGGAATATTGTAACAATCTTTAGTAAAGTAAATCAGCGTTCTTATTTTTTGATTAGAACATTAAAATATAATTTTTGTAAATAATAATAGACCTTATTCACGATATCCGTTATGTTTGCATCCGCTTAAGGACTGATGGGATAAAAGCGATGTTGCGTAATTTCTCAGGGCGCAAACGATTGATAAAATTTGCCAATGCAAGAAACCGTCGTCGAGTTTGTTTATTCTTGACTAGAAACGAATAACTTTTCATCTTAAAATTATGGCTGAAAGTTATCATTATTACTTTGTTAGATGCATGAGTGACCGTAGATGTCCTCACAGCAAGAAGCAATAATGACGCAAATCTTGTGGAAACTCAAACGGTACATTTGCATGACTAGTAAATCGTCGCCTCGTTTTGAGAGAATAAACAAACTCGTTGTCGATTACTTGTATCGGTAAATTTTATTATGACATAGTATTTAACCCATGAATCCTAAAGAGCGTGTATAGATGGCGAAGATGAATGAGTTCTATTAAAAAGTGCCCTGGGCCCGGCTCGAAAGATGATTAAGTTTATCCCAGGATTAAGCCCAATTTTAAGCAAGGTTTTCTTGTCTAAACATGTAACTCAAGCTTTCAAAATACTGTTGAGTCTTTACTCTGATGAAGATACAGTAATGATATCACAAATTGTTACTCTAAGCAATGCTTAGAAAGGTAAATACAAAAAGTGCAACAAAGTTTTAACCCGGGATTAGCGCTAATCGGCCTTTCAGGAACCGGGACCTAATCTCAAGGTAGTCATTCTGTGCACATGAACTAGCTCTTTGCTGAGTGTCTCTCGGAACGGTCCTGGGATGTGCATAGCTCCAATCATAGTAGAATTTTGCAGGAGTATACGTCTTAATTTAGACATGCGTGCTATCTGATCTGATGTCATTCATTAAATTAATGGCAAAAAACGTGCATGATTTATAGCTGAAGTACCAGAAGTTAGTCCCACGCGGATAATGCCATAATTCTTGAATGATATTAAATAACACCTGGGAAATTAAAAAACGCCGACTGAATTGAGGGTTAAAACAAACAGACTATTGAAGGTTATGTCATCGTCATTATTTGAGGCTTAACAAAAAGTCTTCA